ACTTCTCCCTCCACCCAAAACCCGCCATGACCCCTTTGGCACCTCATAAGCATATTAGCTGTCTTCCAAGGCCTTTGGTAATCGCAAAAGCTACTCCAAAGTTTGCCAAGCTGCTATTGGAGTGACAAGTGGACTTTGGGCGGCATGATCTCTCAAGTTCGTTTCTGCGGCCTTCTGTGTAACGTGCATTATCCCTTCTCAACAATTACAGGAGAATCACAGATATGCGAATGCACTATATCACAAATGCACTGTTGGCGTCCAGTTTGTGCATACGTTATGTTATTTTGTCGTAGAATATGCATAATTCATAAATCAAAGCAATGAGCATCTGATGCAACAGTTTTTGCTGGATGCGGACTGCAATCAATCATGCCCCATCAAGCAGGCGACCGCTGCGCAAGAAATTTACGTTATGTTTCTGGTTAAAAAAACCCCAGCATGCTTGCTCTTGGTGACAAATTTATTTTAAGGGAAGCGTGCAGTAACACTGACACATTGGACTTTCCAGAAAAAAAACAGAACGTTTCGTCTTGCTCGTAAATCCGCGCACATGCCCGCATTACATAAAACTCGTAGCTGTACTTACCCGGAGCTAAATTTTCTGACCGATTTTGCCCGACCCGTGAATGCACCTGTTTAGTGTGGCTGCCTTAAGCTTACCTGGCCCATAGAGAGTTCTATTTCTAGCAATCATTCGCTTGGCAAAGCACAGGAAAACACTACCGGATGCTAATAGCTTCACGGTCACTGCAAACTGAGCGGAATGAAAATATTCTTTTGAAATAATTCAAAGGCCAAAAGTGGCTTCGGCTGAAACCGGAAAATAATTATGGGTGTTTGTCAACGCATGGGAACAAAAAACAAAAAAAAAACAGTCAGGCGACGAGTCGCCCACTTAGGCATCTAAATTTGGTAGGGAAAATGACCCTATTGCAATTAGATAAACTTCAGAGAACTCTGCGCTTCGCGCACATATCGGTGGTCATTCATCAGTGCCTTAACGCTCAGCAAGGCTACACCCTGAAAATCTGGCAATGTGCTGCTACTGCACAAAACAGGTGCCTTCATACGGCCACTATACGCAGGGCATTCACATCAACTTTTATGAAGGCCGTCTCGCCGCATTAAGAACATGAGCCCATGGGTAGATATCTCTATCAAGTTGGAAAGTGTTACACTCTCCCTCGTCACCACCCGCGGCTCTCAGCATTTAACCTAAAACACAAGGTATTTGGTCCCCCCAAAACACGAGCAAGCCGCTCGTTGTTGTAGTATATCCAGACTACGCTCAGACTCGGTAGATTTTGGTTGTTTAGCGCAGACCTATTATTTGCCAACTCATGAATTTTGAGCGGCTTGACTTATACTTTGACTTGACTGCGTGTTCGACGGGTTTCCTTCAGAGATTTCCTCGTCCTGTAATTTGCTCTCGCTTCGTTGACATTTGGTCTTGTCCCTTACTTTGTGATTTTAGGCTTGCAAGAACTGTGGATGGCCTTCTATTTGAACTGGAACTAAGGCCACCATGGTATTAACATGATTTTGAACAAAATATATAGGGATTCACGTAAATTATAAGAAAGCTGTGGTAAGAGCAAACTTTTCACCAACTTTAATCGCATCGTGCGAAATGGTAATTTTGGTGAATAATTAAGTGGCTCATCTTTGTGCAAAACAGTTTGTACTGCTGCACAAAATTACTTTTTGAAGTAAATTATCATGGTCTTAGACCATTTAGCGACTCTCTTAAAGACAAATTATTACCAACACTGAGGCAATGGATGCATGTTCCATCAAGTAGGAAGACCCGTTGGTTTCAGCAATAACTTAGGCATCTGAATGACCGCTGAAAGACGAAAATGGTCGCATTCTTGCATTCAGTGGACAAAAAAGTTAGATACACAAGAGAAAGGCTAACAATAAGGCAGAGACACAGTAATCACAGTAAGTAATCAGCCGAAAAACGTACACAGGCTAACCAGTAACTCATCCAGTCATCCAGCTGATGCGTCTTTAAATGTGCTTTGGGGCGTCCTAATTGCGAGTTGTCCCTAACCTCCTCAAATTTTTCGTCTTCATAACGGTCTTATGCAGGTCTTACGTCAGGCTTTATGCCAGCATTTCTCGTTGTATTGCCCTCTTCATGTACCATAAAGGAATGGTGAATAACGATCCAAAGAGAGCCCATCGCAGCACCTTCAATTTCACGATGCATTGGTCCATCAAGTCCGCGAAAAGGAACTTCCAGAGGGTAAGCTTTTAGCAGCTGTTCAAAAGGACTCTGTATAATTTGGAAAAGCATAATTATCAACGAGTTCCCCCCAGCCCAAATGAACAGACGAATTCTTGCACAGCTCTCAACTTATTAGGTGTTGAATGATAGCTACCGTTGACGTGACTGTGACCGTGCCTTTGTAGTGCTTAGTTTCCATTACCAACGCGGTTTATACACTCTCATGTAACTACAGGGATGCTTGTCTTCCCCGTACTAGAAAAATGTGACGAAGATGGAGGTGCATAACATTCTTCCTAAAAATGAAAACCAGTTAGAACTAGTATCCAGCAAAATGCAGTGAACATAAAAGCTAAAAAGATAGTTTTGTCTCTCCTACAAAAAGATCAGGTCTCGAAAAGTAAAAATGTACATATTAGAAGGACTAGATAAGCGTCTGTATGAAAATATTCTACCTAAACGATACTGCCAAGTTGAGCACACACGCACACACACACACACACACACACACACACACACACACGCATATATATATATATATATATATATATATATATATATATGTATATATATATATATATACATATATATTTATTTATTGTATATATATATATATACGTATATATTGGCACATGTAGGCGGTAAATTGTCTTCTGTACAAATGTTGTTAAAGACATTCGCGTAAGTAACTTTAATAAAAATTTTCTGCACTTGCTCTAGCTTTTTGATTTTGGTTGTCTGCTCATCACTGATACTGGAAAGTAACTCGTTGATGTTTGGCACCTATTGGTCGGCCTGACGTTCCAAAATCACATATTCCATTTTTAAAGGCACACACACACAACATACAAGTGACGAATATATTATTCATATTAAACTTACGTACAACCGGTGAGGTAAAGCTACTGGGTACTAGCAAGTTCAGTTCGATCGTCAAATTGTGTAGGGTATGACTAAGTTGGTTCACACTTTTTTAGGAGCATATTAATCCAAGTGGCAAAACACGCGCTGAATAGTAATATATACGATCCACGGATGGCATCGATCGTCTCTAAATGAGGTGAAGGGTGACTGAGGGGTTACTTGGCTTGTTTAGTTCCTGTGACTATATTGTGATCGTGACAGCCTCCAGAACATAACGCTCTCTCCTATTTGATGCTAATGTTATGATGATGGTGCCTCTGATGAGGTCATTTCGGGTGATGTCCTTGCGTGTTCTTTTCGCACGTGCTCTTTTGGAGCACCGTCAGCGTAGTGCATCGTGAACCGCCTTGGAAGTGTGGTGGTAGTGACAACAACGAAGCCTTATTGCTTTTGGAGCCTGTCAGCTCCTATGTCACAACGAAATTGGTGAACGCTGTTGGCTTATTTCAATGAGTCATATTTGGCTGTGAGGTTATTTTTCATGGCGAGTTGGATGGCCTTCCTGTTTTTGTAGTAGATGATGAACGTTGTCTGGTCGTCCTGGCTGGCTGGCTTGACGTTTTCAGATATTATTTTCTTGGGGATACGCTCGTCTGTCTTATAACTGTCAGACATTTGATTCTGGCAGAAGAGCTTGACCGGATTTGGTTGATGTTTGATGGCGTCAGTTTTTAACTGATATCCTGACATAAAGGTGCTAGTCTCATGGTCGATGGCGCTGTTGGAGAAAACATTATATATAACAGCATGGCATGTAGTCGTTAAAGAGATCCAGTCTTTTTGCAAACAGTTGCATGCCAACACGATTGTTCAAGTTATAAATGCAACAATCTCACAGTTCGATACCCACTTGTTCCCTTTTTGTTTTAATTAATATGTATGAAACACGCTGAATAGAATTAGCGGTATATATATATAAATATGTATATATATAAATATGTATATATATATATATAAATATGTATATATATATATATATATATATATATATATATGTATCACTAATTCTATTCTAACTAGTACATTGGTGTTGTTAAAGACCTTGGCATACGAGCATTTCATAACCTATTTCTGCACTTGCTCTAGTTTTCTGATCATGGTTGTCTGCTCATCATTTAGAATGAAAAGTAACACGTCAATGTTTAGCATCTATAGGTCGGCCCGGCGCGTCGGAACTACATGTTCAATAAGCAAAGGTACACACTTACAGCACGCAGTTGTCTAATATATGATTAAATATTACAGTAGGTATAACGAGTAAGGCAAAACGATTACGCATAACTAAGTTTAGTTAGGTCGTCAAATTGCATAGTGTCTTAAATAGGTAGTTGACATTTTTGAGGAGCTTAAGAATTCCAGCGGCTGCTGCATAGAAAGATATATCGTCTACGAATGATATCAATCGTCCCTAAATGAGCTGAAAGGTGACTGAGGGGTTGGTTTGCTGGTTTAGTTCCGGTGAGGTTGTTTTGATCAGGACGGTCTCCTGGACGTAAAGCGGCGTCCTGTTTGAAGCAGACGCTACGAACTAAGTGTCAATAAGCGCATTCTATTTTTAGACATAGACATCACTGCTGACCAACAACGATCCGTGAAAACAGTGCACAAGAAGCCAACAGATGCTGGACGACGCCTCAGTGCCACAAGAGAGTGCCCCGACCGGGACAAGGTCAATGTAGTGCGCTCCTGCCCCCGAAGAGCCTTTAAACTCTGCTCTGATTGGACACAACTACACAGTGAAATGCAGCGCATCAGACAAGTCCTAGTAAATAATGTATAGTTTCCATCGTCCTTTCCTGGGTGCGAAGCATTCATCACCGTAAGCGCACACATTTTCATGGGAAAGGTGTTTCGAGTTTATTCAACGATCGTCCCCGCGAATTCGCCGAGTTAAAGAAATACATGCATACATCAAATATGAAAGAGATGCTTTAAGCATTCTGGCGACGTCAGCCGACCAGTGCCATAACACTGACGTAAATGTGATCTGATTTATGATCGTAACTTGATTTCAAGTACCCATCGTTACCAGGAACAATGTTCTTTATCCACGAAAGCACACCCCTGGACTATTATTATTTGCACGACGCCAGCAAGCATGATGTTAAAGGTCGACGCCTTTTATATGTTCAGGATTAGCAGAGACAACCAGAGAAAAGTGATGCATAATTCTAATTTATCTGCCGAATCGCATGATGTGGACAAGTTATCAATAAACATAACACTGAATTAAAACAATGACAACAGTCGTTGAACCACAACGGATCACCCGAACGCGTCATAGCAATCCACAATATTTGTGTTCGCTGCAACACAAGTATCGCTGATAACATCTTACGTGGTCGTTCATTACGCAATCATACATTCTAAATCAGTACCATGTCAAAAGACAACCCACGCAGTTCCAAGACCCATTTGACCCGCGCCGAAGCTGTGCCAGCGCAATAAAGAACACCACGACCAAAGTACGGTACAGAGTGGCCAAGCCGACGGAAAACCATGTGTGTGTCGTAAGCATGTGTATTTGTTAGTCTTCGTGGTGCATGTGCCTCTGAATTTCTTCCCAAATTTCCTCCTCTTCTCGTCCCGGTGTACCTGTGAGTCTGCCATTCTCCTCAGAGTTCTCTGAGCTTCCGCGGCCGTCTTGTTTTGATCCAGACGCTTCTCCTCTCGGCAATTCGTGAGTGGAGTTCCCGGGAGATCCACCGGAAAGTAGAAGTGCACCTCCCTTGTCTTCGACTGTGCTGGCGATGTCTTTAGGAACCACCTCTATTCCACTCACGTCCGCCGCCGCACCCTTGTCCCTCACCATCTTCGCCGTGTCCTCCACCGTCTTCAGAGCGTCGCTGACGTTCTCCCGCAACCCCTGAAAGCTGGCGCGGATCTCGGTGTGCGCCCGCGTCAGCCAGCTAGAGGAGCTCTCCGTGGAGGCGTCGTCGTCCGCGCGACCGTCCGCCACGTCCGTCTCCTTCTCGCTCTTCAGCTTGTGCGTGTCCTGCGCCAGCCAGTCGTCCTCCGGCCGGTGCACGATGGCGAAGTCGATTGGCAACGCTCCGCTGTCCGTCACCGACTTGGCCGACACTGTGGGTCGCACAGACGACTGACCAGCGCGCATGGACTGGCGCGTCTTCCAGCCGCGGTAGCCCGCCTGGATCCGCGCGGCGGCCTCGTCCATCTGCGCCTCGTCCGCCGCCGAAGGCTCTGGCCCGCGTGGAGGGTTGGCCGGATCGCGGTCCTGACGCGGTGTGGGCGCCGCGCTGCTGGCCACCTCCGACTGAATGGACTGAATTGAGTGCGCCGTCTCGTCCTCCTCCCTAGGCGTCGGCACCTCCTCCGGCCGCCCACAGCCGGACTCTCCCACGGTCCGCTGGTCCAAGCCCTCGGCCAACACCAGCGCCTCGCTGTTGGGGTCCGATAATGAGCGCTTAAGCATGCGACGGGTCTTCCAGCCGCGGTAGCCAGCTTGAATCTTGGTCGCCGCCTGGTCCTCCGGTCCGACGTCCACCATTGAGATGGCCGGACTCACGCGTGTCGCGCCCTCTAGCGGCCCGATCGCCAGCGTCTTCATCTCCTGGCGCGTCCTCCAGCCGCGGAAGCCAGCCTGGATCTTGGAGGCCGCCCTGTTCTTCAGTGTGTCGACGTCCATGTAGCTGCCGGCGCCAGTGTCGGCATGGTCCTGTGACATGTCCGGAAGGGAGGTCGCACGTTTCATCCGACGCTCTCGGCGCACTTTCCAACCCCGGAAGCCGGCCTGGATTTGGGTGGCGGCGGCATTTTGCTGCGAGATCTTACGGCGCGCCTGCCAGCCACGCACGCCCGCCTGGATTTTGGTGGCCGCCTGCTCGGCCTGGAACTGCGCCAGGGCCGAGTCTGTCCGGGTGTCGTCGTCCTGCAGCTCCGGGAAGGGGGAGCTGGGCTTCTCCGAGATCTGTGAAGTCCGGCCGCCCTCCAGCTCGTCCGGAAAGATCACCGACTGCGTCTGTGCGAGCGGGTCAAAGTCATTGTCCTCGGTACGATCAGACGCGTCGAGTGCTGCCTCCTCCGCGGTCGCCGGCCTGGATGGCTGCTCTTCCGTGAAGGCGGTGTCCCCCATTGAGATCGCGTCCGCTGGGCTCTTGGCATCAGCAGCCATCACGTCCGACGTCTTCCGGACATCTTCGGCCACACTAAGGGATGGTTCTATAGGCGTTTGGTCTGCTTCTTCGGCACTCACAACAGGGGGGTCGCCCGATATCAACGCCGCATCTGAATCAGCAACAAATCTATCCGCCTTGACGAAAGGCTCTTCGAACACACTGGGGATCGGAGAGGACCCGATGGCGGTCTCGTCCTGAATGTCGGTAGCCGAGCCGAGGACGGCATCGGTGCTCGAATGAGTCCTACTGGCCAAGTCAACCTGCATGTGGTGATCCTTATCAGCTCCTTCAGACTTAATGCTGCTGTCAGGACGTAACGAAGGCGCAGAGACCTTGTGGTCCGGTGTGTGGAGAGATTCCTCCTGTTCTCCGCTGACGTTTTGCTGTTCGCTTCTTTCTTCCGCTGCTAAGGCCATTGTTTGCATGAACTCCTCTGTGTGCTTTTCCTTGTCTGGTGTCAAATTACTTACCCTTCTCTGCGGTACTATTTCCGGTGTTTCCACCTCAGAACGCCTATCACTTTGCGTGGGGGACATTGCTCCAATACCGGAGGCCGATGCTGCTCTGCTGGCATCGGCTGATGCCCGTGAGGGGACTGTGCTTCCCCTTTCCCCAGCGCCGGTGTCAGATTCGCGGCGATCCTCAGGAAGCCCACTCAGCAACCCAGTTTCACTCCGGGACGGGCTAGCTGAGGCCTTATCGGTGGCTTCAGCTGCAGGTGACGTGCTCGCAAGATCCGACCGCGGATCAGACCGGTCTTCATCCGCTTTAGAATCGGCACGAGGAGCGCTTTCTGTAGGTGTCGGGACGTTCGAAGTGTTGTCCCCAGCAGCAGCCGCGGAATGCGTCCTGGAGACTTCCATTTCCTCTTTGTATCGTGCGGAAAAGTTGCCTCTAATCGATGGAGATTGAATGCGAGCGCCTTCAACGTCTTCAGCAGACTGGCTACGTGCGTCGCCGTTGAAGGCTGCCGGCTCAGTTGGCGAGGTTTCACCAGCTGTTGGGGTCTGCAGGTGAGAGTCGTCTTTGGCGGCAGAAGACCGAGTTGTGGATGCTGCATCATCTGTGGGAGACTGCATACGGGAATCGTCTTCCACCGCTACCGAATGAGCTGGATAATTATCAATCCCTGTGTTGGATCGAATTTCAGCATCATCCGCAGTTGCCGCTGACTGCGCCCGCGACCCTTGGCTTATCGGAGACTGGGCGCCGGTGTCATCAGTCGCAGCTGCAGATTGACTCTGAGAATATTGACCTTTTGTGCGAGACTGAACACGCGAGTCATCATCTACGGCTGGGGATTGACTTTGAGAATATTTACTCCCTGCGGGAGACTGAACGCGAGCATCATGCGCAGCTGACGCTGACTGAGCTCGAAAATCCTCGCCTTCCGTGTTATGTTGAAAATGTGGATCATTTTCATTCATGGTGGCAGACTGGAGGCGGGAAGCGCCCTCTGCAGGGGCCTGAATCGGTGAATCATTGCCAGCAGCCACAGATTGGGAATGATATTTTTCACTTTGAGTAGGAGAGTGGGTGCGTGAGTCATCTTTGAATGCCGAAGATTCTGCTCTAAAATCTGAATATTGCGGTGGAGACTGAATGCGAGCATCATCCCTAATGTCTGACGTGGTGTGTGTATCCAGGCTTGGAGACTCCTCACGAGACCTGTCCTTCCACTGCGTCGATTGAGGACGAGGACTCTCGGCTTCGTGTGGTGACTGAGTACGATCTTTAGATGTCGCTGAACCGGAATGAGGACGATTGAGTTCTCCAAATGCCGCGGACTGAGTCCTTGGGGAATCCTGATGGAGAGAAGCGGGTGACGGAGATACACCCTCGGCTTTCGGAGACTGAAAAGTCGAGCGATCCACATCTGCCGGGCTTCGTGACTGAGAACTTCCACTTCGTGACGGGTGAGTCGTGCTGAACTCTGCGACACCTGCTGATGGTGACTGCGGCTTAGTTTCGGTACCCTCCAGAGATGCCCGACTCAAGGCGTGCTGTTGAGAAGCATCCTCACCCCAGTCCTCCGGCACGGGTGTCCTGCTCGACTCGTCGACAGGGTCCTCATCCACCGTGCTCAGCGCCTGGCTTCTGCTGTCGTCGGGCGCGCTCGGGCTCTGCTCACCCTGTGCTTCGTTACTTCGGGGCGTGGATTGACCTGAGCCGACCTTCGGGGTACCGCTCCCTTCCCTCTGCGCGTCGGCCGCGCCACCTGACGCGGCGGCGGCGAGGACACCACCTGTGCCCACCGCCGCTGCGCTCGCCAGGGCGGCGCCACCGTCACCGGCCGGCGACGTAGGGCTGGCGGCTGACCGGGCCGTGCCGCCAGCGTCGGACGGCGTCGTGTCGCCTCTGTCCTGCGCTGCCTTCAGCGCACCCGCCACAGCGCCGACCGTCACGGCGCCTGCACCCGTGGCACCCAGCGCTCCCAGCAGCATCGCCTCGTCCCGGACGTCGTCTTCATCCTGCCGTAAACAGCGGACGGTGGTCACGGAGAGATTCCGCACACTTCTCCATTGTGTCATATGATGGTGATCACCTGTTCCCCTATCTTTGAATAGCTGGCAGGGTTAGCCCATCATTGCTATTGTAACCTGGTTGTGTTAAAGGCCAGAGGACTAGAGTGCAAGGATATCTGCACGTCCCGGTATTACCACTCCCACGCAGCTAGATTATTTTGTTTATACACTTCGTTACAAGGTGCAAGGAACGAGCCCGACCAGAAATTTCCGTGGACTTATAGCGGAGCTACCAACATCCACAGGAGTCCTGCAGCTGATTATACAAAGATATCGGGGTGGGGCAGATGACGCAAATACGCAAACACAAGCTCTCCTTTTTTCATTTTTCACATTCAGTCATGATATTGTAAGAAGGTGTAAGCAATCATCACATGTAGATATATGAAAAACCAAACAATCACACAACTAAACGATGAAGTGCCATCATGAAAAAATAAAAAAGAGATTAAACGTTTTCCCCTGGGAATTTTCCCCTAAGTTATTTATAGCATTCTGTTCCAAGTTAATCTTATTTTTACGACATCCGAATAACGATATGTTTAAATCACGTTGCTTCAGGTTGAAGAGAAGCGTTACACATTTGAAGATATTGAAGCAAGCATTATATATGATAAAGTAGGCTCAGTTATATCGATTGGTAAACTTCCATTTTGAAACGATTGCTCTAGAACACAATTTCTCTGTCCAGTAAATATTACCTCAGCACGCTATTGTCTGCTTATATCGCCGTACCTTGCACACGATTGATTGAGAGCCAGTTGATGATAGTTTTATCTGGAAATCGTGCTCACGAAGGTCAGATATGAATGACTCGACAATTATATTGTTTTGGCCTCGAGCACCGTATGCGTTATAGAATGGCAGAAAACGAATGACGTTATTATGGCGTCACAGATGCCTGGGTGACCTTGAAAAAGTCTCAACGACAAAAAATTGTTCATATCTTCGCGGGCGCGCAGCTCGGAAACTAGAGGAGCTTACGTCAGTTTGACCCCTCGAAGGTTTTTTGCGATGGTCTCCGAACGGCGCTGTGTTCTCGCGCAAAATTTTGTATAGCTGTAGACATTTAAGTAGCGGATCGTTTGGTGCCAAAATTTACATTTACCTTGTAAGGTCGCTGACTTACGGCAGATCAAAGTCAGCCCATGGATTCAGCGAAGGTAATTTCAGGAAATTGTTCAATCTGATGCAACGACGGAGTGTGAGACAAAGTCATACATCTTTCAGATACCTTCAGAGGCAACAAACAATTGAATGAGCAAGTTCCATTGACCATGGGTTAGGTGTGAAGGTCAGACTAAGGTCAAAACCAACCTGTTTCATATCTGTAGGGCTTACTGTATGGGGCAGTTTCTGGTGCTCATTTGGAATTGATTAATAACAGGGACCGCATTATGCATCTTCCATGACTTTTAAGAATCCGAATAGGTCACTGAGCTAACAGGACACGGGTCAGCATTTTGTGCTTATGAGCATACTGCCTATTGTAATCTTCATCGCTTATTCAAATGCAAAACTCAAAAGCAGCCTTATGAGATTTTGGTCGCCATGACCTTCGAAAGGCCAAAGAAGTCAATGAACTTAAATGAGCATGTGAGCTTTTGCTTAGAACAACTTTGGAGGTACTCTGGAAACCAGCCTGAAGTTTGACTTTGTTTGACCTTATTTGACCCAAAGATCACAATTAAGGAACTGCAAACTTTGACGTGAATGAGTCCAGGTACAGGTCAATACGCCTTATGAGTTTGGTGCTTCTAGCTTTCTTAGTTACTGAGATATCAGGGGGTCAAATAAACCACCACATGAGCAAAACGCATCAAACCGGCCACCCGGGTGCGCATTAAGAATGCCAATCGTGCAAGAAGTTTGGTTTAAAGGGAGTGTTTCACATTCGTATCAGGTTTTGAACTAAAATAGGCATCTGGAAGATCATTTAGTGCAGTTCACAGCACTGCCCTTCTCAAGATCGGAAACCCATCAGTTTCTGACCTACACGCCTGGGAATATCTGCAGACTATTTCGGGGAGGCTGCTTCCACTTCACCCAGGCATCCATGACGTCATCATATCACAATTCATATCCGGCCATTTTATAACCCAAGGCCAATAGAAGTATTCTTATCGAATCGTTGCTATCTGGCGCTCGAAAGCACGATTTCCAGATAAAACGGTCGTCAATTGGCTCTCAACCAATGTTGTGCAAGCTACGAAGACGCAATCAGACAATGACGTATTGGGTAGCATGGTTACTAAACAGAGAGATTGTGTTGTCTACAGCTGCCTTTTCTGCTTAAAAGTGTACCAGTAATTATCACTGGGTTTATTTCATTGTATGTGGTGCCTGCTTCAATATATTTAAGTGTGGGACACTCCCTTGAAACACATCGTAAGGCAGCGTGAAATTATGTTGTGTGGAGCCGCCTTTTCCACTAAAAGTATACCAATAGTTTTAAGTGAGCTTTTTTCACTGTATCTGGTGCCTGCTTCAATATCTTCAAGTGAGAGACACTCGCCTGAAGCACTGTGTCAGGCAGCTTCTAAACATGCTTGAAAATAAATGGATATAATGGGAAAACGAGTAACATCTGCAAAGCTCTTTTTACAAAGAGCTCTTTAAGTAAGGACACTTTCTTCTTTAGGCGAGTTGGTTTTGTCGCATTACACAGTAGCTGCCCCAGAAAAACGTACTGACTCATATGAGGAAAAACTAATGTTATAGTGCAATACATGACCTTTACACTGGGGGATGCACGTGGAGGGAGCAGCCAGAGGGAACTGCGCCGAAGTAACACAGTATGAGTGCTGTCTCAGGCATGTCCCCTGCGCTGCACTTCACCGTCGCCGGCAGAGCGCAGCGGGGGGGGGGGGGGGGGGGGGTTAGGGCGCATCGACTGCTGAAGGTCATGCAGCTAAGAGCGCAGCCTGATGCTTGTGTCTACCTGTGAGCGGTCTCCAGCGGCCGCCGGGTGCTGTGACGGTGTGTGTGGTGGCGAGATGTCGCCATGTTCCGGCTCCTTTTCCGCCTCGCCGTCTGTGGCCTCCTCGGACGTGGCGCCCTTAAGCAGCTTATCGGTCAGCTGGCCTGAAAAGGGGAGGAAGAAGTGAGCGTGAGGCGATAGGATCCGGGCATCGCGCTGGCTACCATTGGCCTGTGAGTGAGATAACGCGCTCAATCGCAAAGCTGCACCACGCAAAACAGGAAGAAAGCACTTGATAAACAGCATACATGTTGATCTCAACCACCATGTATTGCTGATAAGGTCTTGCCTATCAGCTCTGAGGATTTCGACTTCTCAAGCGTTGCTTGGCCTGCAGTCCGAACTCATTACAACACTCCTGTCAGCGTCACTTCGGTACACAGCTGGCGTTAAGCCACGCTCCGCCAAGTCACGCTTCGTGAATACACTCGTCATCGTGGTGTCGTGTCTTCGTATCAGCCGCCGGTACAGCGCGTCAGGTGTTCGGCACAGCTGCGAGTCGGAGGCTCGCCCCGTCCATGATGGGGTGCTTTGATTTAGGCGCGGTCAACGGCACTGCTCTGCGGAAGTCGCGACGGCTCCACGTGTGTTCAGCCGACTGATGTCAGCTGATGCCGCTGATGTAATTGCTGATCGCTGGGCGCGATTGGTAGCTGCTCTCTCATGATGCCGCGTTGATGATGCTCATGTAGTGATAGCTGATAGTGCCCTTGGTAGTCATGGCTACTGCCAGTGCGGGATGGTCTGCGTGCATCTCTCAACCTTATTGTTATGCAGCCGTAACCACAACTTTACGTGAGTTCTCACCTTACTCTTACGAGAGAGAGCCTGAATGGATCCCCAAGATTTCAAAAACTAAGCAAGCTAGAGTCACCCAGAAACAGTGATGGCAAGCTCCGATCAAACTGCGTCATATCGTGAAGAATAATGAATGTGACCTTTGACAGGTAAAACCGGGCCGAAGGGATCACATTAGCACTTCACATGCTTTCTCGTTAACTGAAGAACTAAGTATGCTATGCCGGTGCGGAACACGGCGCTAAATAACTCTGAGAAAACTCTGAGAAAAAACGTCGTCGAGGACAGAAAGATCAAATTTTCACACGGTGTGTAAAAGTGATGCAAACTCATGCATCCAAAATTAATGATCATAATCAAGCTTTATCATAATCATCATATCACATCATAATCAAATCAAGCATAATCAAAGCACAATCAAGTTTTAAATCGTACACCCCCACCCCATCCTGTTGCGAAATTTTGTGTATGACTCTGAGGTTTCATGTTTGCCTCTGTCGTCTAGCCCTTACGTGGTTAATGTAAGCAAGGAGAGCTGTGGAACTCCCCTAATTCTGCGAGTTTGTGGAAAATGTTCCTCCAGCAATCTCACAAGGAATGGGCAAAACAGGTACACCCTCTGCAAAGGTTGTAGATACCAAATAGAACGGTGCTTAGCACACATACTGCAATATGTAAGGAGAAATATACTCGATTTGCAATGTAGGATAATTTTTTAGTTTCTACACAACATTTGGCAGCCGGTGACTGAAGGTTGCGTGGCGCGGGTGCCACAATAGCAAATGTATTTCAGATTTTAATTGATGTTGTGCCCAGACTTTTTGACGGAAATTCTCAAGGAGTTGTACGCTACTTAACACTGACCACATGCATCGACAGATAGTACCCTATTTAATATATACTATCGGGACCTGGCAGAAAAGTTATAGAATACCCCAGCTTCGAAGACACAGCCTCTCGATCATGGATCCGACTCATTGCTGATTGGCTTCAGATAACACCGTTCATGTCGCAAAAGTCGGAAAATTTACAGCGTACCGCACAAAAAAACTTTGACCCGTTACGCCGTGAGGGTTTGACTTTTCCGGACAAAAACATGGGCAATGGGTCGGCTCAAGACAATCAACAATCTTTTGTTTGATCACGGGCTCATCGAATTCGGGCCTAACATAATTCAATTTACAGCTCTGTGAAAAGCGGGCCTTTAACACCTGGAGCCTGCAGTGTACTATGACAAATACGTCGTAGAGCTGTTATGCTACCAAAGTACTTCGTTGGGGACTTCCCGCCGCTACGCCAAGAAGAGTATGGCCAGCGCTAAATGACAACATCCTTGCTCTCAGATGACGATAACCTGTAGCGGTCGTTATCTTTTTCAGTACTGCCGAGTGTCGAGGAGAGTTTTGATGATATGCAATGCAGGAATAGCCGAAGACTGAAGAGCAAGAATGTCGCACTACTTTCCAGTACGACTAATCCATAAATAAAGCCGTTGCGACAGTATGTAGCACCATATGGTTAGAGCTTGGCATCAGGCACTTAGGCTACCTTCATAACGGTTCACTCTCCAGACAGGACACTCAAGTTCTATTACTGGTGCCTGACTCTCCAGACTTTGGATATTGTACACCAGCTAATCGCTCCAAGCGACTCGCGAAACGGACACTTCTACTGCGTACTGCGGCATACCGGCGCCCACATGCAATGTGACGCTGCATGTCGCTGGATTCAGCCGCTGACGTCGCTGGTGCGACGACGGCCGGACCACGGGACACGACCTCCCATTGAAGTGAGCCGTGCGGTAGGATGGCATCCTAAACGCTGGCCCGTCGAGCGGGCTTTACAGACACAAACACTGGATATCTGTGTCAGTCATTACCGTGTTTATAATGTCTGGCTGCCCGGCTCGCCTGACCGGCTCCGAAGTAGGGAAGTCGAAACGAGGACATCGCTCTGATGGCCGGCGACAGAAATACCAAGGCGTGGCTAGTGACCAGAGATACGTCATTGTTATACTTGGTTCGGGTGAAGTGGGGCTGGTTGATGAGCACATCTTCCTATCCGAAATACTAAATGATTAATCCGCGACATGATCGCACCAAATGATTGCCGCGACATGATCGCACCAATATCAATCTCCCCACTTACCATTTCGATCAACCATGCCCTCCAGATACACATGCAAACAGGTATGACCGCACTGACAATTGTTGCAACATCGCGGCTGAAACGACATTTGTAATACACCGATAATTGTTAAAGTTATGCCTTTATTCGTTCCGGGATTTCCGTAATGAACCGATTGAGCTTACCCAATATATTTTCAACAGATTGAAAGGTGATCTTTAAATTTTAGGTGTGCCTGGGCGCGGTTTCATGCCCAGGCACCCCGTACCTGGTATCACGATCACACGCATTTTTTCGTGAAATTTGGGGCCAAAGAATGTTCAGTCTATTGCAAATATGTTGAGCGAGCTCCTCTGGTGCATCACGGAAAACCCGAACAAAACGTCACGCAGAAATCGAAAGCGCTCCCAGTCGATCTCGCAAGGTTCTCGAACAGGTATCATCGCACTGACAATTGTTCCAGCAGCGCGACTGAAACGACAATCATAATACATCGCTAACTGTCAAAGTTGTGTCCTTATTCGTCCCTTGGTTGCGTGATTTTTCGATTTTATGAAAAAAAGTTGAATGTCGCTTTCTACCTACCATTTTTGGTGCTGGTCAATACTTAATCAGGATCAGGCGGTACGTGCATGGGGCCATGGTATTGATCCGCCGTAGCTGACGCACTGTGCCGGCCAAACAAGGAGCCATTGTGTGGCAGGCTGTCACAAGTGTCTTGCAGGCTCGACAATGTCCTCTCAGGCGGACAGGCCAAGATTTACTGCGCAGATGTGCGACGTGTGGCAGAATGCATGGTGATTCACACGAGGCATGAACGGAAATGCCTGGGCTGTTGGAACATTGGAACTCTACGCGGTAATTTCTCGACGCCAGTATGTGTTGAAGCTTGATATATATATATATATATATATATATATATATATATAATGCATATAATATTTAAATCTATTTATTTATTTTCATTATAATAATAAATATATTCATTATTATATCATTATTACATTATTATAGAAATGTATTCATAAATATTTCATATCAATGGTGGAAATTTCAATGTATTTAAGCACATCTATAAACAACACATTTATCTCATTAAACACGCATTCCATTTGGTTCGCGTGGTTTCCACAGCCTTCGTAGCTCGCTGTTGACGATATCGACTTGCCTCTCGTTTCTTTGCAGACGCTTCTTGCAGACGTACGTATGACATGCACAATGATTGAACCCGCGCCGGCAAATTACTCCTTACAGTGTGCTAAATTCTTAACCATTTGCTTTCCTCACCTCAGTCGTGCATTTGGTTCGCATTCTTAGATGGTTTCCTTCAAATGTTGCTGAAGGTGAAAACGTGTCTGATCCAATTGTTAGCACTATGGAGACCACCCAAATGAAGGCACGATTTAACCGCCTTTCATCTGAAGGATCACACGGCCCATTTTGCGTCCCTTTTACCGTTTGAAGTTGTCACCTACGCTGCTAAAAGCGCTGCTAGCTCCTCTTCCGTTCAAATTTACCCAAGTTCCTATATAAAACAAACTATCCTTTAAACGCTTACAAGCATCTCAGGCGTATGAACCTTCCTTCGTACGTCACATCCACACAAGTACTGGAAGGAGTTTATTTCAGGTGTGTCAACAAAGGACCGTCCTGAGATTGTGGCTGACTGCACCACAGAGAACAATTGCACCCACGTACGCTAGGCGACAAATACTCTTCAGGTCTTGGTACTGTTCGAAATAACCTAAGGAAACGTAAAATTTTGAAGAACTGGCGTGATTTACAAAAAGAAATGTTGAAGCCAAAACAGAACATAATAAACTTGTTTTAAAGAAAACAAAACATAAAGGCGGACTAAGAAAACTTCCCATCTCAGCGAAAACCTCTCACTGACCAGCCCGTGGAAGGCACATACATCCTCGATCACTGTAGAATCCGAACCGATTTTATTTGGTGATTGGTGAAGTATTTGGTAAAAGTCTGTTGTACAGACTTGCGAAGTCCAACCCCCACAACGTTAAAGAACATGCGTCTCTCTCTCTCTCTCTCTCTCTCTCTCTCTCTCTCTCTCTCTCCTCTCTCTCTCTCTCTCTCTCTCTCTCCCTCTCTCTCTCTCTCTCTCTCTCTCTCTCTCTCCCTCCTCTCTCTCTCTCTCTCTCTTTTTCTCTCCCTCCCCCTC